AAAAAAAAAAAAAAAAATTGATGAAAATCACGAGTTTCGTTCAAAGTTGCAGTCGAAATCGCCGGCAACTTCCTGTTGATCATCGTGAAGAAGGCGTTCGCTGAGAAATCAAAAGGTAATTGGAAAGCTTAATTAATTGCTTGATGGCCAATTAAATGCCCAATTGCTCCTCGGTCACCTATGATTCAGAGGATCACAGAGGCGGATGAAAGTTCGTTCTCTTTCTTTAATTCGCGTAATTTAATTTGACGAAAGTAACGAGGACAGGTGTTTTTCTTTCGTTATTTATTTGTAAAAGGAAATTATTAACGGAGAAATTTTGCTTAAAAATTTAGAACTTGCGAGGATTTCAAGAAAAGAAGATGTTTATGTTTCTTTTTTTGTTTTAAACTGAAATTTTAATTAATTATATTTGAAGATCAAAGTTACATACGATTGAGTTACATTCTTGTTTCTTAGAAAAATGAAGCAAGTTTTCAAAAAGTAAAGAGTTTTGTCCAAGTTTCTTTAATTTTCATTAAATTAAGAGAGCAATTCTTTTAAACTGAAAGATTTCCTTCATACGAAATAACCAAATAAAAATAACATTGGAAGATAAAGAATTTATGATAAAAGAAACATTCATCGAATATCGGACAATAGCTAACACCAATGAATATTAAATTGACGCAAAAAAATTTTTAATAGAAGAAATATTCTTAATTAGAACGAGAAGAACACGTTCAAGAATCAAATAAATGAGACATTACATAAAAATAACTTGGAAAGTTTACAAGTAAAATTTGTACATAAATTGAAACTTCTGTGTTCGTTACTTTACTTGAAACATTTTTCTATTCTTTGCACTTCCATTTCTCTGTTGCAAGTTATGTGATACTATATATGTATATACAACGAGGCAAACATGTCCTGTGAATACTAATTCGCACAATCGAAATCGTGACGAAATTCGAATGCATAGCATAGTATGCTTAAACCAGTATTAAAACTGGATTCGAAGGACACGAGTTACAAGAGAGACACGATATGCAATAAATTCCACGGAGTGAACTTTTCTCTAAATCGTCTCACTTAATCGCTCTACATCGTATACCTTCGATCTATTTATAAATAGTACTTTTACTCGGATCTGTAGATCACGTGAACCACGAAGCTTCGACCACCGTGAAACGACGTGCATGTGAATTTTTTCTTCGATACAAACTGTCAAGCTTATCGAATTTTTAACGATAACTTTCGAAGAGCAAAACAAACATTAATCTCTCTGATTAAGGAAGAAACTGCACTCTATAAAAGCGGAGATCACTTTTGCAAGGTGATCGATCGATATCGATGGAAAATTTTGATCTCGACGGCGTGTATCGTTGTTCGTTCAACCTAACCGGCCGATCATTATTCAATCTCGTGGATTATGTACGTGTAGAACACTAGACCAGAAGAAGAATAAAGAGAATTAATTCAACGAATGTAGTGAACTCATTGTCGGCAACGGTATTGTCGATTTACAATTAGTCGCGTTAGTGTTGTGGAGGCGTTTGATCGTGAGTGTGTCTCCTTTAAACACGTTTGTTCCAGTGTCTGGCCTGGTTTATCAGTATCTACTGATCGATCGCGCTCGCTGTATGTACTTCGATATTTGCATCAATCGTTATCTCTTCAAAGCGTTGAAATACCTTAGTAAATGTTAGTGGAAATCTAAAAATCGAAAGGAAATGTTAATTAGAAGTTTGTTAGAAGTAGAGAAATACATTGTGAAGTTGACTTCAAATAAGACGAGATCGAAGAAAATTTAAATGAAATTAATGGACGAACGATGTTTATCGTGCTCAATGTTACACTGTGATTTGGATTTTAATATTAATTAAATACTGTTCAAAACGATTGATACACAGTGTTATATCGGAAATATTGCATTTTACATTTTTTTTACAAAAAAGGAAAAACAAATATTTTTTTATACATAAAATAAAATTATTTAAATTAAAATGAAAATTTAAATAAATTAATTTTCGTGGAATTCTTTAAAGTGGTCAATACATAATGCTTTATCACAAACATGGCATTTAAAGACTATCTCTCTTCGAATTGACTTACTTAAGCATAGAACGCATCGTTTTGATGTTCTATTTCCTGTCGCAACCAAAGAATATTTCGCAACTGGTAAAAAAAAGCAGTCGCGGCTCGCAGATTATTCCGCGCTTGGATGCAAATGGGTTAATTATTAATTAACTATTTATGATTTCAAATAAATTCGTAAAACCACTCAAAAAATGCTATTAATAAAAATAACGTTTCTCATAGACGTCGAGAGATTTATGTCCATAATATATCGATAAAAATAGGAAAAAAGGCATTAAATCTTAACAAAATTTACGAAAATAATTATTTTACAACAATATACTGACTGTAACTATAGGAAACTACAATTCAACACTTTCTTTTCTTTTTCTCAAATTTCGCCGTTCTTCCATTTTGAATTTCCCGCGCAAACCTTTTTTTTTTAAAGAAAAAATAATCATATTAAATCCCTTTCAAAAATGCGTACGCAGAAAATTGTTGTACGGCTTCTTGCTATATTGCGAAAAGAAAGAAAGAAAATAACAGACGCGTGATGTTCCAGGTGAAATTCAAATTCAATTAGATCGAGTCCTCCGCGTCGCATGCGCACTGAATGGCGACAAAGGTGTCGAAACGTAGCTCTGGGGGCGCTGGTTATCGTGCTGCAGCGTTCCCCACAACTAAAACACAGCTGCAGCCTGCAACTGGCCTTCTTTGCTTCACTTGCAGCGTGTGTTTCATTTTGAGCATAATCTGCACATGCTTGGCCACGCTGTTGGTTCTTGTTGATCAGAAAGTCGAAGCCGCCAACTATCACTACTGTGAGTTAGTTTCTCTTTTTTTTTTTTTTTTTGGCGTACTGTTGATTCTCACTGGTCAACGACAGATCCTCGTGACTATGAAGCGGGAAATTCGACATTCTTTCCATGTTTCTAAATATAATACCGAAACAAATAAGACAGTGTGTAAGATAGTGTAATTTAGTTAAATTTGCCTGTCGATTATCTACATTCTTATTACAACCTATACAAGCCTGTCACATTGTTCACTGTAATTGAACTGTGGATTTTTATGCATTTATGGGAAATTTAAGGTCGCAAGAATACATGAAAAATATATCTACAATACTTAATAGGTAATATGATTTTTCTATTTAGGTCTCACTTTTTTAATCATCTTCATAAAAGAAAATAAATAAATAAATTTGCACAAACATCCACAGACTCTAACTGTAATATATATTATTTTTTATACATTTTCAAAGGGTTCTTAACTAAAAGTCTCTAACAATAAGTTACTTTGTGTACAATATTTTTACGATATTTTTTAAATGACTTTACTCTCACACGACTTTCGTTCCCATTGTTTTAGCCATTCGATTATAAGTGTCAACAATGAGTCAGTAGATCATGCTTGGTGAACATTCACCGGCATTCAACCTGTACATCCATCATCCAACAACTTTTTGGAATCCATCACCAACATGAGTCTCAATTACCAAATGGAATACATAATCCCATTTCATTGACCATAGTCTTGAAACTGCAGAAAATGGCGCTGGGCATAAAGTGTTCATTTACATTCGCCAGTAGAATATTTCCAAAGATTGCTTCTTATCAAAAACGTACATTTCAACGTTGCTCCACTGGTATCTTCTACTTAATATCATCGTACAGATAATTTATCAAAATACCTACAGAACGGAGAATAACATCTTTATCAGTAGATTGCGGACTTTTATGCATTTTGATGAATTTAATATTTTTATGAATTTAACTGAACTCATAAAATGAGACGTAATTGGTTCCATGTATTAAGTGCTATAATCAAATGAATTCATCTACTTGATATTATAGTAAATGAGGATACTATAGTATTCTTATTGTTTCATGTACCATTGTAAATACCATTGTATTATAATATTCTATTTTGGACATTTAGTCCATTACCTTTGCGTGCATTTTTTGCACCATTAAATTTCCCATAAACGCATAATAAGAAATTCACAGTCTGCTGCTAATTAGAGAGAGCTAATTTGCATTCTAAAATTTTCACGAGTATTACTAAGGAAATGGAACAGAAATTCGCTGTGCACTTGGAATACTTTGTATATCTCTGCATATTGGAATACTTTGTATATCTCTGCATATTGGAATACTTTGTATATCTCTGTATATCTCACATTATGCTTATTATATATATTCTCGCGCATTTAAGTTTCTCACGAATGCAGAAAGATCCTCCAGTCTAGTTACGGAAAATTTCGAAAGAGCATCAGCGAAACTTTCGACGAAGCAAATTTTATTCGTTTTTTTTTTTTTTTTTTTTCTTAGTGTTAACCGCGATGAACACGGAATCGGTGCCCGACTTGTCGTTCCGGTTGCCAAAGGAAGTGAAACCGCTGCACTACGACGTGTATTTGCATCCAGATCTCGAGGAGGGTACGTTTCAAGGTAAAATCACGATCCTGATCGATGTGCTCGATCGAAGGAGTTATATAGCGCTTCATCAAAAGGACCTGAACATCACGTCCACCGCGCTCAACACGTACGACCGCGAGGAGAACTTCGAGTTCGAGCTGTTGGATCTGATACAGATACCAAAGTATGAGATGTTCGTGGTCCCGACGAAGAACGAACTTCACACGGGGTTGTACAACTTGAGTTTTGAATTCAATGGCGCGCTGCAGCCGGACAAAATTGTTGGATTTTACTCGAGTAAATATAAGGACGCGCAAAACAGAACCAGGCGAGTATGTCTTTTGTTGAATTACTTTAACTTGAAATTTAATTTTCATTTAATTTCGAACTGTTCTAATTTCAGGTAATCATCAGGAGGAAAATGTGTTGATTTCTCGTTTTAATTTTATGGAGGAAGATTCTTTTTAGACTTTAGAAGTTTTTTTTTTTTTTTTTTGAAGTGGAAAAATTCAAGAATCGCAGCAAGATTATTATTTTTAAACGATAATAATAATTTCTAATAACACAAATTTAATCTCTTTAATAATACAAGTTCATAGTTTTTAATTTCTTATAGTATATTTTAAATTTATTTTATGATAAATAATTTCAATGTTTAAAGACTTGAGCAACAGTAGAATTAATTGATATTATAGATAAATTATCTTTATTACTTGTATAGCTTTTTTGATTTTCTGAATTTTTATTTACAGATATATCGCAACTTCGAAATTCGAGCCGACTTACGCTCGAAGAGCATATCCCTGTTTCGACGAGCCAGCATTTAAAGCAGAATTCACAGTGAAGCTGGTTCATCCCACTGGAGATAACTATGGCGCCTTATCCAACATGAACGCAGAGGTAACAACACAAATGATAAAATTCATTAAACCAGGTTTAGATTTACGTTTATTAATTTTCTTTGAGATTCTTTTGTTTATATTTCCTCGAGACACGAGTCAGTTTTCCGTCTGTTAATAAAACTCATTATACTTTTTAGTGTACGCAAATAAATCAACCATCGCCAGGACTGACAACGGTGACATTCGCGAAAAGCGTGCCAATGTCGACGTACTTGTCCTGCTTCATAGTCAGTGATTTTATTGCCTTAACACATATGGCAAAGGGTTTGAATGGTCGGCAATTTCCGGTTAGTGTGTACACCACGAGAGCTCAACAAGACAAGGCCGGATTTGCTCTTGATATTGGCGTGAAAATCATCGAATATTATATTGATCTGTTTCGCATTGATTATCCCTTGCCAAAGCTCGGTGAGTTGCTAACGTCAAACGTCAAGTCACGATTAAAAATTCAGCATTGAATGCGCTTAAAAAGTACAATTTATTGCAATGTTTGACGAAATTAGTTATTGATTAATTGTTTCTAAAACTTGGAAATTTTTCCAAATTAACAGACATGGCGGCCATCCCTGACTTTGTGTCTGGCGCGATGGAAAACTGGGGCTTGGTTACGTATAGAGAGGCAAGATTATTGTACGATAAGAAAACAGATTCCAGCGCAATGGCCTACGACGTCGTTACTGTGATTAGTCACGAATTTGCACACATGTGGTTTGGAAATCTAGGTGAGTAAAAAAATTTTTTCTAAAATTATTTTCTAAAAAATTAAGAGTACTGTATTTATTTCAGTCACTATGTCTTGGTGGAATGACTTATGGCTGAACGAAGGTTTTGCTTCTTTCATGCAGTATAAGAGCGCGGACGGGATTCTTCCTGATTGGGGACTGGTTAGTTACTAATTCTTTTTTCTCTTTTTAATTATTTCAGAAGAAATAATTCTAAAAATTCTCTAATTACATTCGTTGAAAGTTTTATTAAAAAAACTTCATTAAAAATTGATTTTATTTCTGTTTTCAGAACAGAAAAATTTTACTTCAAGCAAAAAGGTTGATTTCATTTGAAGCAGGTTCGAATAACAACTGTACAGTTAGTAATATTCACAATTATTTTTTAGATGGATTTATTCTTAATCGAACAAATGCATTCTGTTTTCGTAACCGACGCGAAACTAAGCTCTCATCCTATCGTGCAAACTGTTAGCAATCCCGACGAGATCACTGCGATATTCGATGAAATATCGTACAAAAAGGTAACTTTATTGTTAATAGAAAAAGTTAATAGATTTCTATGTTCTATATTTTATATGTGCATTTTTAATTTATTTTTAAGGGATCCTCTGTGATTAGAATGATGGAGAATTTCATAAAACCAGAGGTCTTCTACGGTGCTATCTCCTCTTATTTAAATAAATTTATATACCATAACGCAGAGACTGCTGATCTTTTCAAAATACTACAAGAATCATCACCGGATGGTTTGAACGTGACAGCCATAATGGACACGTGGACCAGACAAAAAGGATTTCCAATTGTAAACGTGAAAAAGTCTGAGAATAAATACGTGTTGACGCAGAAACGATTTTTGGCCAATCCTGACGCTCATTTTGATCCTTCAGAATCCGAATACGGGTAATATAATAAATTTAAAAAGAAGAATACAGAAAGATTAATTCAAAAAAAGAATTACAATTAATTGAATTTCTAGGAATTTTAATACTATGTAATTTGTTTCTAGATACAAGTGGACTATTCCCATCACCTATATCACGAACAATATGTCTAAACCTACTCTTGTATGGTTCGACAAAGATGCCAAAGATTGTAAATATTAGTTTGCATTTATCATAATGTTTTTTTTTAATCAGTAACTTTTAGAATAACTTTAGAATAATTTTTATAGTATTAGATTGTTTATGCAAATTCATATCTTTATAATGAGATCTAGAACCTATATTTTAAATTTTCCATAAATGCATAAAAATCTACTTCTAATGGTTAATTTAGGTACTCTTTTACTTTATTCCTCAATCTTAGAAATTTTACTGTACTCCTTAATTTATATGCTCTACGAATTTTATTTCTTTTCTTTAATAATTTTACATTATTGAATGAACCGAATTGCTATAAATATAAATTTTACAGTGGTAATTGAATTCAAAGAACCAGTTAAGTGGATCAAGTTCAACGTAGATGAAGTCGGATATTATCGTGTTAATTACGAACCAACCGAGTGGGATATTCTTTATAACATTCTTCAACATCAACATGAGGTAAATTTCCATGTCTCCTTGTCATTTATTCATTTGTTGACGAGTAATTAAATAAATGTTGAACTTTTAGACACTGTCGGTGTCTGACAGAGTACATCTCCTGGAAGACGTGTTCAGTTTAGCTAGCGCCAGTGTACTCGATTATGAAATAGCTATGAATATGACCGCATACCTAAAACGAGAAAAACACGCTATTCCATGGAGCGTGGCTACTTCGAAATTAACAGCCATCGACACGTTGCTGTCTTCGACTATTTCTTCGTCGAAATTCAAGGTAATCTAATTTCACTTTAAATTATGCTTTTAGGTACTTTAACTCTATTTTTTTACTCTGTGTTTAAGTTATATGTAGCTTTCTATATCTAAGTTATGTTCAAACTTTTTAATTTTACTCCACATTTTTTGAAGCATTATGATTTATGATATCAATGGATATCACAACTACATATTAAATTATTTTCACAGAAATACGTGAGAGACTTGGTAGACGACGTGTATCATGAAGTGGGATGGCATGTGTGCGACACTGATGATCGTATTTCTTTGTACGTGAAGATTCTTCATTCTTCATTCTATTGACAATTATTATTTTTTGATATTTCTAATTTTATCGTTACTTTATAGGAAACTTCGAACGACAATCTTGCGATTAGCTTGTTCCGTGGAACACGCGGAATGTCTTAAAGAAGCTGGAGAATTATTTAAGAACTGGATCCAAGATCCCAGAGACATTCGACCACATCCTGATATTCGCGATCTTGTCTATTATTACGGTGAGTAACAATTCATTTACGTTTCACAAAAGACTACAGTAAAACACCATTAGTTCAGAATTAGAATTCATATAATATAATATTCAGGTTCAAATAAATGAAGTTCTACTATACTTGAAATTGAAATACACTTACACAAATATCGTTACTCTTTCAGGTATGCATCATGCTGGCGATGAAGCAATGTGGAAAATCATGTTGAAAAAATTCACAGCCGAGACTGACTCGACAGAGAAATTAAAATTAATGCGCGGACTCGCTGCGATACGATCCACTTGGATTCTAAACATGTATGTTGCTTAATTCTTACAGATGCAAAGAGCGTAACATATGTTTAAAGATGAATGCATTCTTTATTTACGATATGCTCTTCACTATTAAACTTTTTGACATTTGGCAATTTCAAGCATCGAAAGGATCAATCTATAGATTCTTTTACACTTTATTTTCTTCACATTTTCTTCACAGATTCATCACAACAGCCACAGACGAAAATTATGTGCGCGCCCAGGATTTCTTCAGCTGTTTAATCGCCATTTCCGACAATCCTGTAGGAACACCGTTAGTCTGGGACTGGGTTCGCTCCAATTGGGAGTTTCTAGTGAACAGATATACTCTGAACGATCGATACCTCGGCTCACTGATCCCATCGATTACCAAAACGTTCTCCACCGAGACGAAATTAAACGAAATGGAAAGCTTCTTTGCCAAATATCCCGATGCTGGTGCCGGCGCGATGAACCGCGCCAAAGCTTTAGAAACAGTATCGAACAATATAAAATGGCTTGCCAAGAATAGCCGCAGCCTGGAAAGTTGGTTGAACCTTTACGTACAAAATAATTGAACAAGAACGAACGAAGGTAATTATTATTGTTGCATTTCGCGCGAGAAGCATTCAGAATTCTGCTTTAATCGACAGAATTTGGAAATGAAAAGGAAATTGGAACATGAGAAAGTAATATCGTGACGGCGCAAAGGAAAATAAGATTATTCATCTTTTATTTTTCATTTCTTTTTAATTTAATTTTGGGAGGTTAAACAAAAAAACGGTGATTTTTTTTTGAAGGAATTATTGAAAATTGCTATTTCTCGCAATCTTCAAGAATTCGTTTCTGGTAAGCTTAACGTTTTATGATATAAGGATTTACAGTGTTGCAAAAATGAAAAATAAATGCAAAGGATTTCTGTTGAAGAAGCGGGGAACAGTGCGATTATCTTAAATATCGTAATTTCGTTGAATCGGAAAGTTTATCTTCAAGTTTTATACTGTGAAAAATTACATTAATAAAATAGGGAAATAAGTGCGAGTTGATTCAGTCTCTGAAAGGCTGAAAATACAATGCAATTGTTCCTCGAGAGGAATTCTCGAAATTTTACAATAGAAAAGATTATATATTGTACAAAGGATCTCCTCCGAGGATAATGTAAACCTTTTGTACACGTGTGCTATAGTACAACGATTTTTATACTTGTTATAAGAATTTACTGTCAGTTCATTTTTCCAAATAAATAAAACGTTGTGAAGCGAAACGAACTTGCTTCGTCGCCTCGACGAATGAAACCGATGATACGTTCTGTTTTCCACGGATCAAAGGGTAATCAACAGGATGGATTGAACCGGTATAATTGTTTTTTCCCTTCCGGATCGGACGGAATTGGATCGGCAACGTCTATTGGACGATCAAGCTCAACGTTGTCAACAAAGATTAGCTGAACTTTAATTCACCCTGTATGCCCGCAGTATTTCCACGTCTCGTGGCTCTATAGAACATACTTTACCTTCGTCTGTCTTCTTCGACGGTTAAATGCTCTATATCTGTCAATGTCGTCAGTCCAGGCTGAAAAGGGCAAGTATCAAAGTCGCTGCACAGAATGAAATGTTGGTTGAAGTCTCTGTTAAAGTTGAGAATACAATATTATACAGGAGTAATGTAATTAATTACACTTTGAGTGACTTTCTTTTTGTTTTATCAGATCTTCTTTGTTCGAATTTTCCTGTGATCGTTTGCAAGATGTAGAGATGTATGGAAAGAAGATATGAAGTTATTCGGATGATGCGAGATTTACCCAAATCAATAAGTGTCAAAGGTTCTTCTCTTTCTTTCTGTAATTGAACAATTATAATTGGTAAAAGTAAATTCTTTATATATGTACAAAATCAGTTTTAGAACTGTTTTTATAAAAGAAGAAATCACGATCATGTTACATTCTTACAATTAATTTTTCTGTAATTTCTATATACGTTTTCAGATTAATTTCAAAGTGACAACAATGATCGAGTCTCGTAAAATTCACGATATTTTACATAACACAATACAAACATAAAGTTTCCCTGTGACGAGCTGTGTACGATTATCGTTAGAATTCGCTGGCGCCATCATACCATGAAAATTGACGGTTAAATAAATAATTTAAGGCTCTTTGGATTCCTCGAATGACCGGTGATTGTTTCGTGTACACATAGCTAGCTATTTATTCTTCCGTATCATCGACTGCCGGAACACCAGCAGGGGTCTGATAATCTGTCAATTGATCCATCATTGACAAAACGAGCCGGACAAATTGATTCGTTGTACAAACGTAGATCGAAATTAAGCCTCCGTAAATATCGAAGCTCAATTACGCGAGAGTAAAGCTCTTCTCGACGAGACAAATGGAAGGAATAATTGCTCGCGGAAACTAAATCTAATGCGTGTCTGAAAAAGTATGAATAGGTATCGGAAATCAACCATAATCTTGCAATTTAAATAGAGAAAGTTTATCTCAGAATATTCGTGTTGACGGTTTTCATTTTTCAAAGAGAGACGAGGTAAGCGTTTCTATCCTTCAATCGGAAGATAAAGAAATATAAATAATTACATAATTGAAAGTCGAATATAAATCAATAGCACGAAATTCCAATGGAATTATTCAGGCCTATGTTACTCGCGTGTTTATCTATAGGAGCTATCTATTTTCGGCTATACATTCGCTGAATGAATGTGTCTTTAATTAGGGTACCGAATCGATATTGGTCGAGATCAGATTGAGGATAGATTTTTAGCTGAGATTTATTCTACTAGATATTTATAGATAGGTTTTTAATCTACGCTACAATTGATATTGATATTTCAAGAGTATATTTATAGAGAATTATGATATGCTATCTTTTAGAAGAAAAATAGAAGTTTAAATGTAATTATCTTAATGTATTTTATAAAGAGAACACATATCTATATTATGATTCGTAACTTCATAGATATTTATTTCTGAATCTTAATGATGTACATATTTGTGTAGTGATAGAAAATTGTCGAAAAATTGACGAATGAAATGACGTTCTCGTTGTTGTAAAAGTAGTTGGTGGAACGAAAACAGAAGATAAAATTTACCAAAGATTCACGAATGTCAAAGAAGACTCAGCTTCGATAACGAAGAAAAATATTCAATTAATCATACGACTATCTTTCGTTTACCGATTGGATTTTTGTCAAAACAGTGTCAAGGCGCCTGCGACTGGTTCAAAATTGCAATTTGCATAATGTTATTCCTGACTTCGTGGAAGCGAAAACTGAAACAACAGTTCGATTCGAATCTTTCCCTGGTTTATTTAAGTAATCTTGATGGATATTTTCTGCGTAAAAAAGAAAATGGAGGAAACGACTTTTCCAAAACGAAATTTCCTTCCATTCTGATTAATTTGATAATAAATTCAATGAATGCCGTTTTCTCAATTCACGAATCATATCATCGAATAGATGGTAATTGGTGAATTTTCAAATATTACAGTAATTATACGAGAAGAAACAAAGAGGTATGAAAATCAACATTGGAATGAATCCAATCGAAGTGATGAAAAAATTGGATTTTCAACTATGAGAATAAAATGTAGAATTTGATAGAAGATACATATACGTATGCCAAATATTAATCACACTTAAAGAAGAGAAGAGAATGACACAGGTTCACTTTTACCTTTCCACAAGAAAGAGATAGTCACTTCCTCATCCGTCTGAAAGCAGTAGTCTCTTATCAGAAAATAATCGATAGGCTCCTTCGTCTGGTTCCCTGGTAATCTCGCTAATTTCTCTATTCGTTATTCGCAATTTCAAGGGGTGGTATTTTGGTTCCCTGCTCTGAATGGAAGTGTATCATTCGCGACAGAGTGGGCTCGCCATACGTCATCCCGTATCTATCACTTATCTTCCATTATCCTCTTCCGCACGTTTTTCTTGGAAGTCAGAGGAACGTTGATGATCGTAACTCGACTGGGAAAATGGCCTTTAATTATTTTTTATTGCTAGCTCTCGGCTTCTTTTGTGAACG